TACGAGAGACTCGAGTCTCTCAATTTTTCAGTTTTATTCATTCAGTCTCTCTGTGAGAGACTCGAATCTCTGAATTAACAATTTTATCGTTCGAGTTTCTCATACAGAGACTGTGAGAGATCCATAAAAATACCTAGGCAATAACTGAGAGACTGTGAAAGACTGAAAGACGTTCTCAGAAACGCTGAAAGACTTTCTGAGGAACTGGAGAGAGACTGAAAACAGGTAGGAATTACAGCGGACACTCATACAGAAAAATGAATAGCATTGCACCAATTAATGTGTAACTAAAAGAGATGCAGAAAGTCCAACATTCTCAGGAATTTGGGAAAGCAAAGACGGTTGTTTAAAGATATAATTCCAGTCAGACAGTTATAAAGCCGATCCTGATCTTTTGCGTACCTAAACAACCTCTAACCGCTACACTGCCTATTATTATTTGGCTATCTCTTTTAACTTTGTACTACTCATGAGCCATTTCCTAACTTATCAAGAAGGGCGTGTTTAAAACGTAGCAATGACTTCAGTCAGTCCCGAGTAGAAACAGGAAGAATGATACGTCCATTCTCACAGATAATTTATTGCAGACTTTACCAATTTTGATCGTCCCAACTATATTTTATTTCTTTAAACTCCATTACCTTTCACCAGAGAGTCATATAAATTCAAAATTTTTGAAGTTTCAAAGCATAGTGTTTTTGTCTTTCGTTTAAAGAGTAATCAATTAAAATCAATGCCATCACGTGGCAGCAAACGTGAAATCACAAACAAAGCACACGTATGAATATGGCAGCCATGAACTAATTTTACAGGTAGACTTTGCTCCAATCCGCTTGAATTGATTAACCTAAAAAACTTCAAACAACAACTCTTGAATTTTGAATCAATAACGAACCTCTAGCACTTTTTTTACGTAGTACTTAAACGAGCCTGATGCGCTTTTCAAATTACTACAAAAGCAAAGTGAAATATTTTACTGAACTGTGTAACAACTCCTAATTCTACTGATGGGAATTGGAAATAGTTATTTTTAGGATACTTCTCGCTTTCAACAAAAATTATCTAGCACATGCTTCCAAAAAACAGCTATGAGATTTAAAATAAAATACGTGAAATAGAAGATAGCTACATACACTTATCTGTAGAAAGGAAATACTAGTACAAAAGAAAAGTTGAAGACAAATTTACCTGTCAACATTAACAGAAAGAAAATGGTCCCATCTTTGTCACATAACATCCAATTATTCCGCTTGTACAATTTACAACTGCAACGAGATAAAGTAAATTAGATGTTGGAATTGGATGTTCGCCAACTGGAGAATTGGTGAAAATCCAAAGATCTGTTTACTGACTCGAAATTCTTACACACTCATTCTAATATCATACTTTACAAAAGATGTTAAATTATATAATATGACCGAGCTCATAATTTTGCGAAGTAAATAAAGTGTTGTTACGAATATATAGCCGCACGCGAGGACCGTCCAAATGTAATAGGCGGTCATAAATCAATACTGAACGACACATGTACGACCGCGTAACAAGCGAATTTCGAGAGATTTCATTGTTCTTGGTTTCCTACACAGCTTCAATGAGATTTTAAAAATTCTATTCTTGTTATAACTCTTGTACCCAGATACATCAGTTTCAGAATTGATAATATTCCAAAGTTCATCGTTAAATCCGTATTAATTTTTAACAACTTTATTCATTTTTCGATACAGAATTTACTAGTTATTGAAGTGTTGCCATTAAAAATTGATATTAATTTCCTAATTACAATATGACAAATTACGGCCCTTCTAAAATTAGCGACATTCCATTCTTGAGTTTTCTTGTTCCTGGAAATTGACTGTTTTACACAATTATGGAAAGTCCTGTTCCATCTCTAATAAAATTTCTTTTGTGTGCAATTTAATAATACAGTCATTGTTATTATTACGTTTGTCGGAAACTGTTAAACTTGTTTTCCTAAATTTTATTAGAACGCAATTAAATGGCAACGAAATAACTAAGTAATAATAATGAAATTGGATGGCAACGGAGTACACAAATTGAGGCGCTTGCTACATTCAGTAGAAAATGAGGATAGAAAATTAAAATTGTTTTTCGCTTATAGCACAACTTAGTCACTGTACCGTGCGATGATTTAATGAAAACTTTACCGCTGCTAGTAAAAAACAATAAACTCATTATTATTGGAAATAATAATAAATAACCTTTCAGTAGCTGTATGCATACACATATGTAAAAGTGTTCGATTCCGCTCAAAGGCGAAATATCCAATTTGGAATTGAATTTGACTTTTACGGGAATATAATTTTTACCGTTTACAGTTTACGGAATCTTAGAAATATAAAGGATGGTAATAATAAAAATNTTAAAATTGTTTTTCGCTTATAGCACAACTTAGTCACTGTACCGTGCGATGATTTAATGAAAACTTTACCGCTGCTAGTAAAAAACAATAAACTCATTATTATTGGAAATAATAATAAATAACCTTTCAGTAGCTGTATGCATACACATATGTAAAAGAACTATTTTTTAGCAATATATTCTTGATTTATAGTACTTTACATACGCCCTTTTCCATCATAAACTAACAGATGGATACCATTTAACCCCTGATGAAAAAACCAATCAGGGAATGTTCTCCCACCATTGCCTAACTTGATCATTTCCATTATACATAACCTCTGATGCGCAAGCTTTATTTAAAAACTTTCAACTAATTCTGGATAATGAAAATTTAATCCAAGGTGAGTCAGTAATGTATAGTTAATTAGAGAGATTGCAACGATTATTACCGAAGTAAGTAGTTCATTAAGTATCATAGTGGGAGATCATGTTACAGTTTGAAACTGTTTGAAAGTTCAGAGGACCTTTTCAAGCGACAAAGATGCTGCAATCGCCACCTCTATAAGCCACTGGCGTCTCCGCATGTGGTATTTGGCGTCGCCACCACACTATCCACCGCCTTCACTTCGTCTTTGCCGACGTCCAATTATTATGGATCCGCACGCGAAACTGCCAACTGTTTCTAACGTCTCAAGCCCATCTTGCAATATCGTGATATTGAACGTTTTGAATCCAAAGTTGGCGGGAGCGCGGCAATAACTGTCACGTTTCGAAACATTGAATTGGAACATAGGCGTCCTTCGGGATGCCTCCCGACACGCTCGAGCTGCTGTTCGAGGAGTGAGACAGCACTGTCTCGGTTTGGGTCAGCAGATCCGCAGTCATAAGCCGAGGATAAGGCAATACCGAAATCCCACTCGAAGACACTTATACGTAGGTAGCGGGACGTATTATGTATCCTACATATCCGATACATTTTTAATAGGAAAATATTAAACGATGAAGAAATATTTATCTACATACATCATCTGTTATATATATAGATAATATTTTAATTTAATGAACTGAATTATTTATGATGCTTCAGTTTTCCAGAATATTCTCAAGGGAGATACTCAATGTCAAGAGAACAAATTTGTTTTATTGAAATTAAAATTCTCTTCACAAAACCATTTCAATAAGATATGCTTGACATTAGTTATTGTGGTTAACAAATATTGTTTTTTAGTTTCCATACCAAAAGGCAACATGATCCATTACTGAGCCTGCGATATCTGTCTGAGCCTGTATCACATGTCGGGACGGTAAGAAGTAGTTAGTTAATTTCGCAAACTGTATATTATTCTGCGCGGTAGGAAAAGTTGATTCGATTTATTTATTAATTATTTATCTTTATAAGATGTAAAAAACTCTATTTAATTACATATCTACTAGCATACCTATTCCACCAAGTGCCCAATGAGTTTAGGCATTATTGCGAGAATAAATAATAATATTTTACACACCTATCAAAATGCTCGTGCATATATACAGATTGCGTAAGAGTGATGGAAAAACTCAATGTATACACCGCAAATTTTTAAATAAATGTAGTCACAATGTGCGCTCTCCGTCCTTGTTGCTGTTTATGAAAGCGACATATTACAATCTATCGACATGCTAAGAACCGTATTTTCGCATGCTGTACAGACCTGTCATACCTACAGGTGTATTGACTACAAATATAACTGGAGAGAACAATGACATGTTTACGTATGGGTACTTACCACTTTAACATTTCCTGTCATATCTGAATTTGAGGTAGTGTTCAACCAAACCAGAAACGTCACTTCACAAGAACCTGCAGAAGAACAAAATTGAATTTACTTCATACGCTTACATTCTATTCTGAAAGTACTTGATAAAATGCTGTACTATTATTTCAACTCTGTCAGAAAAGAAAAAGAAAATCGTAAACAAAAATTAAACGATTTGTTTACTTCTAATACTTATGTAGTTTTATGTACAAAGCGGTTTATTAACCAGGAGTTTGTTGGAGGAAGCCTCTAAACTCTAAGGAAAAAAGGTTCCATGCTCCTTATCTAGAAGTGCAATTCAAGATTAAATTTGGAAAATTATTCTGAACAGGAAATTAACGAACAATAATATCGAGCACTAACCGGTTTTGAAATTTTTCACAATTTGAAAAAAATGTTCATATTCTTGTAATAATAATAATAATAACTGAAAATTCAATTTTCTTGAAACTAGCGAAACAATATTTTTAGAGGCTGTTAAAACAAATGTAATGCTTATGTTTTTCTGGATTTGTTTGTATCATGAAAATATTTAAAAACAAAACGAAATTCATCGTAGTAGTTTTCAAACTTCTGATGTTTGCTTTACTATTACTAACTTCAATTTTTCAAAAAAAGGGCCTAATTATTTAATTTCATTTTTCAAAAGCATCTTCCATCACTGGCTAAATTTTACAAAAACCGTTACCGTTTATAAGTAAATATCTACTAAAGTTTCTGCTTCAAAAAGATACGAGTATATAGCTTAATAACTACTTTTTACTTTCAACAATTGTATTACTTAGTAACAAATATGTAACAAACCATGTGATACAATATGTGCAACAAATAAATTCAACCAGAATTAAAACGATCCTTTTAATACGACATGAAAATCCTTTCTGCGAACGTTATCAGAAGTGTGTTATATTTTCTGGCAAATGTGGATTCAAATGAAAACCTTTGTTGACGCAGTTATTTACTAGGATATTATGCCCATATCTCACTCAAAATGTATATGAACGTTTCCGACAGTTATAACCTTTTTCAAGTTAAAATCATGGTTAAAATACATTTTAAATCCGCCTCTATTAAAGGTTTCCCGACTGACGCAACGGGCACTACGACTTTGCTACAATTCAAATGACAATTCTATATTTGCAAGGACTAAATAAAATTTTCTGCAGCATTTAATATATTAAAAGCTTATTTCAGTTAGAAATAGCATCTACGTAAAAAAACTCAGGTTAGGTTTTGGTATAACGGATCATCATGATTGAAAGTACAATCCACAACAATACCCAGCCCGTCCAAGTTTAGATGGGTTGAACTATTAAGTAAGAATAGAATGTCTTTAGCTAGAAAAGTTTAAAATTACTCCCATAAAATTCAGCACACCAGATTATCCGGTCTCATGAATTGTATATTAATTTGGTATTTCGAATATTAATTATTGTTTATTACGACTATAAGTATTGTAATGTTCGTGGGTTTAGCAAAATTGACTTCTCAGACTGATAACGACAAAAACTATTTATTTACACTAATTATTAATATATCACTATTCACTGCGCTATTTATTTCACTGCTATCACTGTCAATTTATTTCTGAATTCACTTCTGCAATGGTCAATTTATTTCTCCTTCTCGCAGAAATCATCTCTTCCTTAAAATATTCTTTTGTTTACTTTTGGGAACCTTCAGGAAACATCCGGATAGTTTATTTTTTCTTTGAACTGTTTAACTGCTTTCCTAGAACGCAGGTACGACACACACATTTACAGATACGGCGCACATGAAGAAAGGCGCCCGCGGCTAGCCGGCGGATCGATAAGCCGTTTAAGCACACGTGTGCCCGATCGCACACAAACACACTCGTGCTCGCTGCAGTATATTTAATTGTAATTGTTCCTTAGAATTAATCATTTAATGACTAGTTTTTCAAGTTCTCTTATAGAAAAGTACACACAAAAAGTGCCTCCTCAATTTCGACTGCTAATTAGCAGAATTATGTACTAACTCCTACTCAATTGTAACTGAACAGTTTTCAAAGCTTTTCATCTTGGATTTTATAAATGAAACTTGTGCATAGAGACGGTGAAAATATTAATTTGCTAACTTCAGCGTCGCGTCGTGGAACGATCCTTCGAGTGAGAGACTCTGTTTGCAAAGGAATTTTGTTTAAGGGACGATAATTATCAATTAATTCCTGAGAAGTGAAGCACGCCTTAGTTGGAGCGATTACTAAATTGAAAATTATTATCTGCCCCGGCGAACATGGAAACTTAAAAGCGGGAGATAGAAAGAAACAAGATGAGCCCGCTTTCTAGACCATTATTATTTAATGTTTGCGATTATCTTCAACGCCAATTTCTCATCGATTAGGTTCAATGGTTTTTAACATAAATAGCCAAGTTGTATAGTAGATTTTAATTATGAACCTTTTATAAATAAGTATTTGGTGGTAAATACGTACAAAAAGCTCCACTATAGTATTGAAAATTCTTGAAGTTGGAAAGACTACTTGAAATTTATCAACAAAAATATTGATGAACCCAGTTAACAATGTTATTTTAAATGAGTTTAGGCATTATTGCGAGAATAAATAATAATATTTTACACACCTATCAAAATGCTCGTGCATATATANTAAATTAAAACAAATTTACTCAGAACAAAACGCGCTTAAACGAACACATGTTATTAACAAATAAATAATAAACTGAACGACTTCGATGCGGTTTGCACTCATTATTTAATAATTCGAAGGCATTTAATTTTTTTTTTCAGCACAACCATATATGTACATATAAAGCCCGTTAATACCTTTATTATGCTCTTACTATTCTTATATGCAGTTTCTTTAAAAAGTTTTTTTAAACACTTGGATTTGTAAATTAATGCTGAAATTCTATCAGTAAAGTAATAAAATAGATGAGTTTTTAAAACTAGAACATCCCACATCCTTAACTAATCTAGGTCTACCTCTAGTCCTTTTTACTCCTGTTTCTGCTTTCAATATGTCTAGTCTAGAGTAGCCCTTCATGTCTAAGAAGGTGTCCTACCAACCTATCTCGCCTATTTCTTACTGGCTTCCATAGAGTTCTCTATTTTCCTATTCTTTCTAATACCTCTTCATTTCTAACCTTCTCTATCTACGGTATCCACATCATTCGCCTGTAACACCACATTTCCAACGCTTCTAACCTTGTATCCATGTTTCGCACTCGTACAGCGCCGCACTCCACACCTTTAACAATCCTATTTCTAAATTAACCGTTCGCTAGCACAGAAGTGACTTCTTTTTGTTGAAGGTGACTCGACCCTAGTACTCTTTCCTATCCTGAGCTACCGAAAATCAACCACTTCTTCTTTTTTTTCGTCTCCTATTTTTATATCCCTTTTTGATAATAATATATACTTTTTCTTTTCCACGTTTATTAGTAACCATTCATTTCTGAACCCAGAATAAAAATTTGGAAGAATTTGTTCGAAGTCGGGCGTCAATAGTCGTCAATTATGATTTTCCTGTTACAGCTTAAGTACAAACTTTTTAATTCAGCTTGTGAAAAGTTTTGAGCAAGTGGACACTTTGCACGTGCTCTGATCGCTGATTGCCGCAGGTGTGCATTCGGGTCAGAATTTATGTGTCCCGAGGGTACATTTAGGAGACGGCCGCTTCTGAACCCCCTATTTCATTTTGTTATGGATTTCGCTGAAAGTTTGCCGACTCTCTGTTTGACCGCCATCGTGAAATAAAGTCCCTTCGGATATTTCCGTTCTCTTACATTCGACAAACTAAAACGCGTAAAAATTTCACCGGAGTCAACAGTACATTAAACGAAATAACAAAATTGATTTAGTGGAGCAGACCAACATGGTACTACAAAGATTTCATATTATTTCTTTCTGATTTATGTGTAAAAAGATATTTAAAGGTCGCTTCAGTGGCGCACATACGAGGGAAGAGATAAGTAAAATGTTAATGACTAATGGATTAATTAAATCTATGAATCTTACGAGAGACCCCGTCCAACATATAATACCGCTTATTTATTTTTTAGTAAATGCATATTCAAAAAAGTCACAATGCAAGCTATAAAATACAAGATGATCAGAAATAATGTGGATCATTTTTGCCTGTTTCAGTATGTTTCACTTTTGTGACATTTTATTTATGCAATTTAGTTCAGCGTAGTTCTTTATGGTTTTTATTACGCCAAAATGTTATTGAAGTTTAAGAATGTCATACAAACTGAAACTCGTCAATGTGAAATCGTTTGTTTCCAAAGCGATTAGTCGATTATAAATAAGTACTTGATCATGAAAGCAATGGTTTCCCATCAACATTTTCAGGAACTAGCAGATCATCTGGAAACGACTACAAAAAAAAACGGAAAGTCTTTATAAGGAAAAGCGAACTCGAGACTGGCATCAAACACAAATCGAGTTCAATAACCAAAGAAGAGCTTGAGCTTAAGCCCTTCAAACTCTAAAAATGTCAATTATTCACGAACGAAAACAACATGAGAAAACCTAAAAACCGAACCTTATATCTGAGAAGAACGACTCCAAATAACAAATTGCTTATGATTTGAGGTAGAATTTGCAATAGCCATAAAAAATTCCCTGTTATCATGGATCAAGGAGTAAAAAACGATAAAGGAGTACCGCCAAAGAAGCTTCAATGAACACAACAGCACTTTGGGAATCAATATTGGAATTTCTATTAGAAAACAACTGAAGAGTGATGATGCAGAACTGTTTTTAGGAGGTTCATCTCAGCCAGTTTTTCTTATAGGATGTCACTTCGATGGATTATTGTAGTATGTGGTCAATTCTGAAAGCAATGTCCTGTGTAATTTCGACGTTGTGGGTGGTCATATCGAAATCGCTTGAAAATTTGGTCAGAAAATATATACGCAGTTGTTGTTAAATATAAGCAAGTGATGAAAAATGTGTGTTCATATTGTTTCCGGTAACCTTGTAGAGATTTTTATCTCTTTTGAGGAGAACTTATCTTAAAAATGTTGCTAAAATACGTATTTCAAGTTCTCCTGTACTG